TCTGTGCTCAAAACAACTGAGCAGGAACAAAGGTGGAAGTGATACCTACAATTACTGCTAAGCAGCGAGACAATTACTAACTAAATGCATAGAGGAGATCTTACACTGATCACATCTGTTTAGTTTTTTAGTGTATGCTGTGCCATATGTTTTCACTTAAGTTAAAAAACCAAAAAACTGCAGCAACTCTCCCGTCCTCATTACACAAAGAGGATGCCAGATATTAGCTACTCTTTCTTCAGAAAGCCTTTTATATTCTTGAAACCACATGTACTGAGAAATTCTATTAATAGTCAGGTATTTCTCCAGTCTTGTTTGTTGCCCTTCTCCAAATAACTCTTTCCTTTTGCTTTAGCTACAGAGGTAAATTTGGGGAGGAGGCCCCCTGGGATTAATAATCTTACTAACACCATAAACAATTTTTCCATTGCTTATTCATTGACAAATTTAACCCTGAGAGCAGTGCCCACGCTAGAGAATCTCTGCAACAACATGGACAGCATGGGCATATTCATACCTCCACAATAACACTGATAGAAGCACTGCTAGAAAAAGGTGCAAATCCAAAGGAAGACATTCCAACTTAGATTTAAAAAAAAACTCCATGTGACTCATTTAAGAGCCCAAGATTGCTGCAGTCTCCCTGCTCTTCACTGAAAAAAGTTGCAACAACAGACTTTGTGGGTGCTGGGAAAGAATTCCTACAAGCAAATTATACCCTTGCAAATGGTGAAACATGGGAGGCACTCCAACATTCTAGTTAATGCCAAAACAATAGCCTGGGATGCAGGAGAGTGCTGGGAGGCTGGAGCTGTGCCCCACAGGAACCCTTGACATTTGGAGCTTCTAGAGTTCCAACATCTTGTTACAGTTTGATCTTCTCGACAACTGTGAGAGTTGACCAATTTCATCATGCTCCTCACTTTGGCTATAAACACAGCAGCAAACAAATTGGCAGCAGGGCATGGGCCCACACAGTCCTACTTGAGTCCATACTAATAAAGTGTTAGCACAGTCCCAGATGTGTTCACCAGGGCCAACAAACATCCTCCTCTACAATTCTCACGCATTCACAGGCTAATACAGGCCAGTGACCTTTCTTGATAGGAAGCCTGGACATAGCCACTATTTTTGTGGGGGGCAGGGAGTTAATCTGTTTGAACAATGAGCTCAACAGCGTTCACGACCACAGGACAACCACTTTATTTATTAATAGAGACGGAGTCATCGTTTCCAAGCACTTAGAGTGGCCCATCCCGTTTCCAGACTCTGTCAAATCCCACAGTAGGGGACAACAAGTTAGATGTGGCAGACCATCTCAGTTTCTAAAAGTGCAGTCAAACATGACACTGGCCTGTTTGTCAACATGGGCATTCCTCATTTAGAAAACCTTGATCCAGATTCTGAAATATAATCTTCTAAGTACACAGCCAGCTGCAGAAGTCACTGTGCAAAACCTAGAGCCACTGTTACATGAATGGCCAAACTAGGTATTGGTATTGACCATTTATAGTGTCAAAACATAATCACACCTCTTCATACCTACTATTTCCCCTATTCTCTGCACACAGAAGAAGCCAGAATTTCCACAAGGGCTACAGACACCTATGATGAATGCAACATCATCTTCAACCCACTGGATCAACTCCAACACTCCTGACAGCTCTCACCTCTGGTTTTGTCCCAGGTTGCTGGGCATTGTGATCAAGTAATTAGGACTAATCCTTGGTCCAGATCTTTGGTGAACAGACAATAACTAGAACATATACTAAAACTCTACCTATTTAAGACAGATTAAGAAAAAGGTACAAAAGCTGCTCTTAAGTTCCTCTTAATCTATTTCTAATACCTAGTTGAAGACTCTCAGAACCAGCATTCAAAGAGAGTTCGCTCAAGACTTCATACCACATGCTTCATCTCAGAAAGCAGCAGGGTTGCCACCTGCTTATTCTGTGCCTCTTTCACAGAATGCAAGTAATCACTAAGGCTGTTAACCGACAATAGCAGCAGTTTCCCATCTGACACAGGATGTGCAGTATTCCTACTCCATTAGTCCATTTCACAACCAGCAGCATTCAGGGAAAGTCTAAAAACTTTCATATGCATTACCATATTCACCTTGAGGGCTTCTACACATGAATGCTCTTGCCAAGAATGGAGCACTCTGTCCATAAAACCTCCTTGCCTGGGCTGATGGCCAAATCAGAAAATAACCACTGGAGTGAAGGAGTGAGAAATCTTTCACAAAGAAGCACTGTTAAACTTTCTATGTTATACTGAGTATTTTTAAGCATCTGGAGATAGGAGAACTGTCTTTACAATCAGATTCTCATAAAAGAAAATTAAAATCTCTGATGGACTGTGTCAAAATGATCAGCATACTGCCTTCTCTTTGATATGATAACCTTTAAAGAGCAGTAGTCCTGCCCTGAAAATTTCTGAGCCATTTCTACTCTTTTACATGTAATTTACAGAGATGTGTTATTCCAAATTAGTGCAGCCCAGTAGACAATATTCCTCAAAATCTGCTTTCCCCTAAATATTGCAAGACTCATTCTTGCAATCTTGGAACTATCCTTTCTTGGATCAGTAAATACAAAGTGATGGATAAAAAAGGACTTAATTCAGCTTCTTTTTCAGAGACAAAGCAAAGCAAAACTTAGGTAAGAAGAGAAACTTTAACAAAAGAAAGTAGAAATGGTGGATTAGCTTCCAAGCTACTAACAATCCCTTGGTTTCATAACTGTAGCATTTTCAAGCTACCACAGATTAGTTTCTAGAAGTTCTTTGGCACATGTAGCGTCACTGAAAGTGAGCTCATCCTGTAGCTCTACTTCAAACACTAAAAAACCAAATTCAAAAGACCCAAAAAGACCCAAACAAACAAAAAGCCATTTTGCACTTGGAACAGATCACAGTGACTTAAAACCAGCAGGTGATATTCACCACAGTTCTCAGCAAGGTCTTCCCATCACCATCTCAGCTCAGTCGGTGTCTATAAACACCAACCACCTTTCCCAGTGTGGTGCACGTAGGAAATCCCATCTGACAGTGTCACTGGGCTGCCTAACACACAGAGCAGAGCTCCTGCCCCATCTGTTTCAACACAGCCACATCTCTCTACACTTTCTCAGCCACCCTGACTACTCCTTTTCCCATGCACATCCCAGCTCTGACAGTCTTCACCTTGCACCAGCACGTGACTGAGCTCCACGCTGCCTGCCTGGATCATTTGTTTGGATATCATTAGATTGCCCTGACTGAAAGCCCTAATGAGGTGCTGATTCCATCCTCCAATCAGTTGTCTGAGCCCAAATGCATCCCATGGGACAGCCAGAAAAGACTGATGCAAGAATTCCAAGTGATGTGTAACATGAAAGGGCGCCATTCGCATCGCTAGGACTCACAGCCTGTCAGCGCGGCCATTAGAAATCCGGGGCTACACAGATTTATAATTCAACCCTCCCACACACAGAACTTGCTCTAGACTGAAACTTGGCACAAAATTCAGTCCCAGGAGGGTGTTAAAAAAATAACCTATTCAACAGTTTCCGTCCCATGGCTTCAGCTCACAGCCATTTAAATAATGGCAATTTCTCATTTCTCTCTTTAACTGAGGAAATCCAATATAAAACAGCAGATTTACATAACATTGCAGTGGTGATACAAGCTGGCAACAAACCCAGAGAGAAGGCTGCCAGAGCCATTCTGTCATTCTCTTTTGGTGAATTTGTCCATTTGGGTTCAGTTTAATTGAATGATTTTTATTAGGTCTAGCTGACATCACATGTAACCTGCAAATCCCACCTCCACACTGGCCAGGCATCTTGCCCTAGCTTTGTACACCTTGTGTGCTGGTTAGAAGGGGACATGCCCTCCTGTGGTCACAGCAGCCTCCCACTTGTGCTGCCACTGTTAGTTCTTTGCTGCAAACTCTCCTGGCTGATTTAGAAGACAGTAATTAGCTTCCAATTGAGCTGCAGAAGACTGACTGGACAAGGAATGGACAAAACAAAGAAGGGAACTGATGTAAGCCAAAAGCAATTTGTCAGTAGAGCCTTTGATTTGATCAGAGATTGTTCCACAACTACCACACCTGCTTCCAGGGAGAGACACAGAGCCAAGCTTTCTGTGGCTGCAGTTTTTTATCCACCAGGTCTTTAAATTCCTACTGGATTATCTGTAATCTTGAGTTTGTCAGTGGAAAAAAAAAAATTCCAAGTTGATGCAATGTCACAAAAACTTATTAAATACACAGGACCTCAGATAGTCTACAGCAAATCACTGCAGTGAGCACAAGCCTTCTGCTCCACCACCACTTGGACAGAGAGGCTGTGATTGCACGTGTGGGACAAGTGGGAGCTTGTCACTCCAAAACAGATCATCTTCTGGGTGGCCTACTGGCTCCCATCGCATCTACCAACCACCACTCTTGCTTTCCCACAGCACATCTGAGGCACAGCTCCTTCTGCCTCATTCCAGCTGGAGGATAGGGCATATTAAAATTATCATCAAAGCATCTGAACTTACTTTTCTTATTTGTTATATAAGTAAATAAATAGACCAACTATAAAATTCTATGATAAGACAATGAAGATTAATGGTCAAGCTCAAGCCATCTTTCCTGTTCTTTAGAGAATTACTGACTTAAAGGTACTTCAAACCAGTTTGAACCCTCTGCTGCTGACAGCAAAGCTGCTACAAGGTTTTCTGGGCAGGCAGTGTCAAAATGTTTCTTCTATAATGTGGTCGTTGGTCTGAATTGCCATTGTTGCACTGATTCTCCACATGTACCAAACCATCTTCCCTAAGGCCAGCCGCTGAGGTCCACAGTCCTGCTGTAAAAACCCTTCTGCATTTCTGAGAACTACATATACAATAATTCTCTCAAACAGGGGAAATAAACTGAGACCAAAGGACCACCTGAGTTTTCCAAACAGAAAAGAAAATGGGCCAGCATCTGCAGAACACCTTCTCCAACAGCTGTAGTTTTCTCATACCTTGTCCTTTAATTCCAAAGGGGGGTACAAAGTCCCTGATACGTGCCCATTTCCTGAAGGAATCATCCAAGAACATTGGTGCCGGCTTCGAGAACCTAAGAAAACCAAAATGAGAAATAAATTAACTCCTGAACTGGGAAGGATAAACTTCTGCAGAAATGTTGAGAGAATCCATACCTAAATGCAGATTCTACATTGTCACTGGCAACAGAGTAATGTGGAAGATTTTACTTTTACCCGAAATGACTGCAGTGAAACAAATCTGCCAGAATTTGTGCCACAAGGACACTCAAATCACTCAAGTCATGAACCTAGCAATCACTTCCACTCAACAATTTAACACTGCCCCAGTACTGTTTGGCTATTAATTTAGCGACAATAAATTGTAAATCGCAAGCAGGGTTTAGGCAGTTTGAATTCCAGGTTTCTGAGCCCAAGCCAGTTTATATTCTGTCTGTGTGAGTATGTAAGGAGTCTGCTTTGGCCTCACTTGTGCACATAAACAGCAGCTATCACCACACAGGCAAGAAAACAGTTCAGAAGATCATGAAGCAGCTTGTAGTTTACAGAGAAAGGAAATGGAAATTCAGTGTCTTCTTCAGCATTCATTAATGCATAAATGATTCAAGAGAGGTTCCTGCCAAACCAAACAGTTATGATCTATCCAAAATGCCTTACAAAAGAGAGACCTAGTCCTTCTTAACCATGTCATTATGGAAATACATTATCCTAATTATACCCTCAACACACAAACACAGCAGCTAGTAAAAATTTGTCTCTTCTAGAAACGATTACTACAGTGGCCAGAGAAAAGGAAACAATTAACACAGAAACATTAACTTCCATATGGGACCATTTCTGAGTGTATCAAGTATACTAGAAAGTATGCTAATGCTATTAGAAATCTGTTCATTCAATCATATCAAAACAGTAGCAGAGATGTTCTGGATCAAAATCAATCCCACCACAAAAAGGAATGTACTACATGTTCAGAGTCAGAGAAAACACCTCCACTACAGAGCAAGGTACATGCCCTTGAAATAGATCCAGCTTGGCCAACCTACACATGGGAGCAGGACAGATGTAACCCACGGGTTTAGCTCTCCCTTCAGGCTGTTTCTGTACTCAGCATGCAACTCTTACTGCAGTCAGATAACCTTTGAACTACCTGATTTAGGGTAAACTTATCTACACTATACCACAACCAGCTACAGAGCAACAATTTCAGATAGCAGCACACCGAGGAAAGGATGGAATGAAATCCAAATTATAAACTGATCCAAGTGAAGTCCTATCATAGATGCTCAGTAAATAACAGATGCAGAAAAGGAAAGAGACCAAGAGAATTAAAAAAAACAAGAAGACTCAGATTCACCCATGCATACTGCTTCACATCCACTCCTGCAATCTTTAAGAAGATCATCATAACCATAAAAGAAAGATGCACAGATGACATGGCTGATCTAGAAGGTAAGGAATGTTTTTTCCAGAGCTGAGAATCACAAAAGTATATATATAACTTTATCTGGGAAAAGGTGGGGGAGGTATGTTAGATATATTAGAGCTTCTGAAGCTTTTAAGTAAAAACAACCCACAGGCCTATTTAAAAACAAATACAGAACAATACAATATTAACTGTAACACATTGACTCTGAAAATATCCTAAAAACTTCAAAAGCCTGACAAATTAGTTTAATGTTTTCTCACACATCTTGGTACACCAACATATAATTAATATGTTTCCCGGGGCGGGGGGAGCTCCAGGGATTTACCTCCACTTCCTTCCAACATCAACAGGAGGAATCTTTGCAGGACTGTCATGCAAGAGCTTTTATAACCTGAAGGGCTGCAGCATAGATGCTCACAGCCCTTCCTCTACGGCCACCCCTTTAACTCAGCAGAAGCCAATCCCACAGAGAAGGTCCCTGTTCTCCCCAAGCAGCAGCTGCAGTGCGGGATGACAGCATCGCCTGGGGCTCACCAGCACCTTGGGGCTGCTTTGTGAGGTCACCAAGCTACTCTGGTTGCTGCTGTGATACACAGTCTCCAGGAAAAACTTGGATGCTTCAGAAAGTGCATATATGAGCAGGTTTTTTTCTCTTCTCAAGAAACAAGAGGATTCCAGAGGTGCAGCATAAATAAAACCTTTGCCAGCTCGAGAAAGCAGGTACAGACTATAAGGTCGTGCCTAACTCAGAAGCTGGTGTTATTTATACATACAAATAACTGGCCTGTTTGCAAGTAATACATCTGGAAAAGACAATTTACAGCAATTTGATGTGGACTAAGGGAGTGCCCGTCCCTAATGCAGATTTCCATTTACGAATCGTGCCTGGTAAAACCAGGAGGGAAGTCAGATCCCCTAAAAATTCCTGGACCCCAGGGAACTCCCAAAATTCAGCAGATGCTAAAGGCATGACTGATCTAATGCTCTGTGGCGTCACTTCTGCATGTGACAACCAGGGCACCAAAGTCATGCCAAAGAAAGAGAAAAATGATCATTGGCCTTTTAATTGTATTTGCTACAAGTAAATGTAGGGATTTTTCTAGCAAAGGACACAATAGCCTTACACTAGCTACTATTATTTGGTAATATTTAATACTCCTGTATACAGGGCCATAGAAATGGACTTTTAACCATATTTTTGCTTCATTTATGAAGGAGGAAGAACAGTTTTGGGGAAATATTATATCCATATGGGAAAAAAGAGAGCAATTAGAAGATATTTTGCTGCCATAAATCTTGAAAGTAATTCCGTTTCGGAAATATTAAGGAATTATGAATGCTGTAAGCTCATGCGCTTTGCCACCTCAATAAATCAGAGAAAGCCAGAGCTGATGTCCAGCAGTGACAGGGAAATGCTGTCTGCCAGAATCTCCAGGAGCATGGCTGTTCTGTCTCAGCTCTGAACTGCATCTGGCGTATTCCAGGACTCTCCAGGAAATATTGGGATTTGCCTCAAACAGGCCATGGGAATGCTCTCTGCAGAGCACCTAAAATACATTCCAAGGAATGCATGGGAGTTTGTCAAACAGAACAAGCAAATGTTTCTGAATGATGTTAAAACTCTGCACGTAGTGAGCAGCTCAGTACTGGATGCTGCATTTTGCCTGTCACCGCTGCCTAAAGGCAGGTTGGCTTCACTGGCAACCACAGCTCCAGACCCAAAATAGGTTTGTGCTCCTTCAGAAAATGGCACAGAAAGTGAAATATTCGATTTTTTAGTTTTAAATTTTAAGCACTTCCTCTCTACCCCAAATTCCATAATGCATCTCATTGCATGTGACAGCCTGAAAAGTTGAGGAATTTGGCTGCTTGTGGCACACACTTATGACCGATGTAATTTGAGAGAGAAATGCCAAGCATCGATTCAAACAAATCTCTTGTTTGAATGGCATACCCTGCTAAAAGACAAATGACATCTAAATGGACTAAATGCTTGACATGATAATTGTGAGGTACAAAACAAATCTCTCCCAGTTCTCAAGTTTGAATTCCTCATACAAAGACAGTAATAAAATCTCAAACAATTTGTCACCATGCACAGCGAAAGGAAGCAAACGTTCTGCCAGAAATTGTTCTTAAACAGGAATCTATAATCACACAAAAATGTGATATATATTTGTGCCTATGGGACTCTGGCTTATGTGACAAAACATTATATTTCCAGTTCTTTCCTCCCTGACTAGAAGAGTTGTGACCCCAAAGCATTTCTGAAGGCTGCATTAGCCTGCCAGAAGCTCCCCAGCCAAGATTTTCAGCCATTCCATTTTGTCCCTGATACTGAGGCCACTTCACAGTCACTCCTCTTTGATGAGCACTGAAGTACTCAGCATAAGCAGCACTAACTTCCCAAAGTATCTTGCAGTCGCTGTGCAAGGTAGCTATGGGACAATTTTAGACATTGAAACTTGACTAGAATCTGCTCCCTACTCCTTATCTGCTGCTTTCCAGGCAATTAATACATAAATGTGTAGAAGAGAAAAAGCTACATCTCAGGGAAGGTAAAATAAATAAACCGATTTATGTGTCTTTGGTCTCAGCAGGGAGGGATGAAGAAAAGGTCAAGTTCCTGAATGAGTAAAGGAGAGACAGGACCACATTTCTAAGGAGCCACAACACCAAGGAAAAGCAGAGTGGTAGCCACTAAACTCCACTGTGAACTTGTATTTCAGATTTTCCCTTTTTTAAAAAGATCCTCCTTTAAGCTGACCTGTGCTTTTGTTTATTCTTTAATTAAGGAGAATCAATAGTGCTGGAAAACGGAAAGCTGAAAGAAAAAAAAGCCCAAACAGTGCTAGAACCTAATGCTGTGCAGAACCTGTGCACATTGCATTTGTAAAGGGGAAGGAATGGCTTCTCTCTCTTTTTTTAAACCACACATAAATTATTTATTTGTTCTGGCATGACTTCTATCTTCTGTTTGCTGATGATCAAAAGCATCCATGGTCAGACAGAAGGCACAAAGTCTACCAGTGTTATTAATTAAATACAAACTGAAGCCCTTGAGTGCTGAATCATTAGCCCCAACACAGACATTTATGGAGGGAGAGAATCTAAACTAACTTTTTCCTTACTGAGACCTAGAGGTATGCTGTCTCCCTTGCCTCCCTTCTCTGGGGAGCAGCATGGTGTGACAGCATAGGAATGAGGAGGTTTGTGACATCCTGATTTTACATTTCTTATTGACATTAATCCTCTGCCAAAAATCCGAGCAGCTCAAAGATTCCTCAAGGAGCTGAAAAATTTAAGAAACCGCATTAATAAGGATTAAACCCATCCTACAACCAACATACTACTTTTCCTATACCAGCAAACAAGCCCAAGAAAAAAAAAAAAGATGGCTTCAAGAAGAATATCTTTAATAGCACAGATCAGGCCAAAAATTAAGTTGATCTTAAACTGCAGAAGTCTAAAATAAAATAATATGGTAGAGAGAATTTAGCACTGAGGAATGGCAGGTCAGAGCACCCTACCAGTGCCATTTGAGACCATTTACAAGAGAGTGTGATCTTGTAAAGAGATCACCACAGATCCCCGCCCACCTTCTCCCCTTCTCTCTGTGCCTACAGACCCTTGAGTGTACCTGCAGCT